AGCGGATTCAAAAACTGAAGTCAGAAAAACAGAACACAAGAATACTACCTCACATGGAAGCCAGTCGAAGTCGACGAAGAACGAACACAGTTGACAGCTGTAGGTCACGTGCAACAACAGACACGAGGAGCATGACTGCTCTCCAAATGGGTCCCTTCTTTTGTATTGACCCCCTAATGATTACTGATCCCCCTTTCTAACTCTAAAATAATATATCGCCCCTTTTAAAATGTATTGACCCACAAATTAATGAATATTCATGAGCACAGAAACTGCTACGTCATGAATAAATTAGCATAATTAAAAAAAAACTGCATAAAGTGTAGGTACGTCTTCTGGAGTTCTGCCAAGATGTCTGCCTATTATTAAAAAGGAAAAATTTCAATCGGTTTAATTGATTCAACAATTTCTTTCTTTGAAATATCTTCAATTCATGTTGCATATTACACACTTGTGCAGTAAGGTCACTTTACAGAGCTTACAGTTTTTATTGTATTTGCAGTTTTGTTCAAGGTTTCTGAATAAAAGTAAGATGCAAGCCCTAAATAAGGCAGAGTTAGGCGTTTCTTTATTCTTCGCTTCAACCTATGCTAATGACAAGTGTGGTGCTAATGGATTACCTCTAACGCCTAACTCCATTAAGATTTTGGGAAGGTTTCAAAAACTGAAGACCATCTCTCACCCAAGGCTCTGTCAATATGTGGATATGGTACGTGGGAAACACGGTAAGTGTATTTGCATATCAGTCTTAAGTAGTATAGCTTGGTACTGTAAAATACTTTATTTTCAATTGAAATTTTTTTTCGTTCATTTCTTTGAAGATGATTCACTGAAAATAAAAATCCAGCAAATATACCTATTTCTCTATATTTTACATCAAACATTCTAAAATCAGTGAAAATAAACTCCATACAAAACACCCCAAAAAAGTATTTTATAGCAAAAATTAATTCCAGCTAAAATAAAGTATTTTACAGTACCGTAAAATCTGTATTAGAAGCCGCATGCCCAATAGAAGTCGCACCCATTCTTTTTGAATTATTGTGAACCAAAAATTCATCATTTCTCATATGTGTAGATGCTGTAATAGAAACCGCAGCTTCTAATACAGATTTTACATAATATGAATTGGATGACTGGTCATTGTGAATTAGTCTGGGGCTGGTAATAACAATTTTAAAATGATTTTTGTTAACTCCTTACATCTTACATGTATTGGTGTGATGATAGAGAGACTAATGGTGGTACAGGAATACTACAATAGAAGTCTAGAATCAGAAAGACAAGCAGGCATCATACGAAGGTATTCTTGTAAACACTGATCATTCTTTACAAAAATTTGATGCCATGTACAAAATAACAACTTCCTGTTTGAACTGTATATGAATATATAGAACATAAGATACAGGTTGACTAATGGGAACATTACCAAACTTAATCTGGTGTATTTGGTCTATTCAAAATACCTTGACTTTCATATTGAGTGACTTAATTGTTTGAAAAGTTATCATTCAAATGAATCTGTGTGAGTTTTTATTTACCTGTTGACATCCAACAAAGCATAATTATTTTGCTTTCATGCTGTTGGAGATGCACTTTGAATACTTGTATGTGTGAGCACCGTTATCATGTTCTCTTAAAGTATGGTGGTCGTCCCGCAGCGCGTGTTTGAATTTCATGTAAATAAACAATGTATTTTACACGCGTTGTATACGTTGCTATGAGTCCCATATCGAACAGGACGCGGCACGACGACTGTCGCCCTTTAATATTGATTCATTCATGTCATCACTTTATTTGCTGATCAATTTCACCTTATGAGCATAGAATGTGTTGCTATCCCATAATTTTGTTCCTTATTACATGTATATGCCAATATGTATTTATTAGTCTTCTCTGAAAACTTGTTTATTTCTGATTCTTGTTTATTTTATTAATACCTAGTTGCAGTGAAATGCTACAGATAGCATATGAAATACTACAAGGCCTTAAATACATGAATAAACATAACATAGTTCATAGAACACTGTCTCCGTCTAATATATTCTTAGATCCAGAGGTAAGCACATACTCTAAGTATTTCTCCATTTATGAGAGAACATGGCTAACATGTAAAAATGCAGAAATTTTAAGTACTACAAATTTTTGATATTTTTCTAAGTGAAAGTTTTCATCAACACATTGTCTGATGAAAGTCTCTATGAACAGCCAAGGTTGTCTGACATTTTCTTGTGAACTGTGGTTACATATCACCATAGTTACATGTCCTTGCCTTATATATTATAGACATTCTTGTGTGACATCAGTTCTTTCATATACCCATAGTGTAATAACATACCATTCAAAGATGTGTATACCAAGTCGTCTTAATAATATATTCACACAAGTAATAAGTCCTGCCAACATGGCAATGATTCACCACCAGTTCCCTCTTTTCATCAAAAATTCACAAAATAGTCCCGTTTATAGTCTGCACTTTCCTTCAGAAGATTGGTAAAAAAATAGTTGAATTTTTTTTTACTACAAACTGAAAATTGACTGAAATTTTGTCTGTTGGCACCAAAGTTCTTTTCCAGAAATATTGAAGAATATAAGAAAAAAGTGCAGAAAAATTTAGACAAGAAATGAATACATTATTGTTTGTACTTGTAGGGCCATGTCAAGTTGTCTTCATTTGGTAGGTATTATATGACAGATGGAGGGGCTGATGTCACATTTCCAATTGGGTTAGTATTGATATCTCATATGTTTCATTTTAAAAGTAGTCATGTTATGATTATGTTATGATTCTTTTATTGTTATTTCTGTACACATTTTTGTATTTATATTTAAACATGTATTTCAATATTGATGTATCCCATATATCTCTTGGCATGTCTGAATCCATGGATTTATGGGGCTGGGGATATCTTTTACCTATTTGTTCCTTGACAAATCCATTGTACCCTAGTATGTTATATCCATATGTGACTTTTACCTATATATCTTGTATTTTTTACCCTGGAACCCCTGCAATGGATGGTTTTTAAGACTCTCCTGAACAGTGTAACAAGATTACTCCTACATGTGCAACATATATAAATTTGGTTGACCATGCAGGATTGTTTTATAGTTGAGTTTGTGTTGATCGTTTGACTTTACCTGTTTTCACTGGCTCTTTGACCGGCGTTCCACAGCAGTTCACATATATACATGTTACAGTGGTGCACGTCTTAGCTACATAGAATGTTCTGTGATGTAGCTCTGCTTCTGAGAATACTCTCAATTCTCAATTGAGTTTCAGTGAATACATTCTGATACAATGTGGAGAAGCTAAATCTCCATTCACTCATTCCTTTTGTAGCTACCCAAGATTCATGGCTCCTGAAGTGATTGGATTGGGGCCAGTGCAAATCACAGACTATCACATGCTAGCACCGATACCCTCCAACCAGAATATGTCTGGTCCCAAAGTAGACGTCTGGTCCTTGGGAATGATACTTCTGGAGCTTTATCTAGATCAGACTCTCTGGTCTTCTTATACATTGCCACAGACATTTGCAAAGATAATGTTTTTAGCCAAGCACAGTAAGGACGAGCACCCACTGGATGTGTTGATCAGAGAACACAATGCATTGAATAAACTACATGTAGGTATAGAGTTATGTAACATTAAGGGTTGACCATTGGAAACTCGGGGGAGGGGGCTACTGTGCAAATTTTTTCTTCATCATTTTTTTTGGAGCTACACATAGTTTTTACGATGAAGTGCTGTATGTAAATATGTGCTTTTGTTTATATAAATATATTTTTTATTCCTATTTGTTTTATGTTCAGACATTTTTTTTTTAAATTCCACCTTCAATTTGAACTTGAAAAATGTCATTTGTATATGTTTCAGAAAATGCCAGGAAATTTACAAACTTTAATCCGACATTGTTTGATTGTATCACCTCATAAAAGGTATGTATTAATTACATATTCCACAATTATTACATG